TGCCCCTTCTGTGTTTAAGGTGAGGTGGAGGTGGACCTCAGGGGTGGACAGCAAGGAAAGCCAGGGGAGGGCTTGTGGAAAGAGACCCAGAGTCAGCAACGACACAGGCCAGAAAGAAAAGCAGGTGATTTCCTGGGAAGGGCCAGAGTGGGGCTAGGGAGCCTGACCTAGCTGGTTTGCACATAAGACAACACACTTTGTCATGGCTTTTCTCTCCAAATACCAGAGTACAATTAACTGGGCCCACTTTTAGAACACTTGCTCCTGCCCAGGATCACCTTGGTTACATGGAGCACTCTTCTATCTCCTCCTAGTCTGCTGAGGCAAAATGAATGGACCGGGGTTGAAGTACCACACATTTGTCTTTCCGCCGCCCAAGGGAGTGCCCCGCTCACGCACCTACTTCAGCTATGACTGGGAAAGTTTAAAAGGTTAGAAGAATTGCATCTCTGAGAAACCATAGACCACGGAGCAGTTCCAGGCCATTAAAATCCTGAGTGACTGAAACTAAGACCTCCAGGGAGAGAGCCCTGAGAAGTCCCTCTGTGAGTGGCTCTTGGAGACCCAAATTGTACACCCTGAGTGGCTATCCAGGTGGAGGCACTCAGAGGGCTGAAGATCCTCAGAGGAATGGAAGGGTTCCAGAGGGTGAGCAGGGCAAGAGCCACCTTATATAAAGTAAAGATATCCTTACCTGCTCCACATTCTCTGAAGGCGTCTTTGTTATGTTCATCTAATTTAAGGAGTGAAAAGAAAGAGGATGAGAGCAGTAAAGACTGGCGCATCTATCCAGACGTACAACTCTTATTCTGCTTTGAGTGCTGAACATCACCCTATGGGAATATATTGCACTATACTGTGTCCTCAGTGTTTCACTATCCCGATGAACCCATACTCTTTTGAGGCCAGGGTCTTTATGACTATGGAAATTGTCTGTTGTGTCTGGGTCATGGAACTTCAGGCCACTCTGGATCAGAACACACTGAGTGTCATTGTTAGACAATGTACACCATGTATGACAAAGGCGTAAGTTCAATGGATGCAATCTCATCTCTACCTCCAACGAAAAATGAAAGAAAGAAGAAAGGAAATGAGAAAAGGAGAGATGGAGGGAGAAGAAAGGAAAGAACAAAGGAAGAAAAGGAAAGAAGGAAGATGTTCTGGTTGATTCCTGGGTGTAAATATACTCAGTGAAATATTTCTGGTTAAAAATGTATAAATAGGGCAGGGGATTTAGCTCAGCAGTTCGGTGGCCTACCTTGCAAGTACAAGGACCCGAGTTCAACCCCCAGTACCAAAAATAAATCTAAAAAAATGTATAAATAATTGTGATTATTATTTCACTTAGTATTATATGGGCAATTTTGTGAGATAAATCTATTTAGCCAAAACAAATATAATCAACTTGCAGGAATGGGGGAGACTCCAAGAATCAAGAAGAAGAGGAGGAGGAGGAGCAGAAGGAAGAGGAAGAAGGAGAAGAAAAAAAAATAATCCCAAAAAAGTATGTGTTTATTTAAGCTAGGGCTAAACACATGATGGCTGGTAATATTTAACTCACCTCTAACATGAAGTGGCTATTCTTTTCAACAAAGATTTTTCTAGGTTGGACCAAAACTGATGACTAGGATACCACTAACCTGTAAGCTCAGGAAAGGGACCTACAACTTCCAAAAACCCTCTTCCAGCTCTGTATCCTAACCAAGACATTAATTATATGTACAAAGATTTCTTTGCAGATTCCTAAAGTGGCTGTGGTAGGACGATCCCTCCTAGAGTGTGCAGCATGGAACCAGAGGGAGAAAAAGCACACCAGGTGCAGAGGGAGACTGTCTCCAACTTCTCTCTGTGGGCTTTTTAAACCGGCAGGCACTGGCCTGGCCTCCAGATGAAGCCAGAATGCATGCCACCAGTTTCCCACTGAAGGAGGCCCAGGTGACCATCATTGCATCTCCAATTCTCGGTGGTCAGTTAATTCAATTACACCACCCACTGGAGAACATGTGGCCAATCAGGAAAGGGACAAAACAGAAAGGAATTAGATTTGCTGAAAAGCTGAGTCTTTGAGTCAAGCAAGATGGCACTTATTAATTGCTCAAGACTATTAATTGGATGGGAGGGGGGGAAAGGGGGAGCCGTCTGACAGAAACAAATCTGATGCATGCACATCTCACACACACAAGGCACCAAACACAACACACACTTGCCTCAGTGAATTTCTTTACAAAAGGGGTGCACTATGCAACCCCAGAGCAGATGGAAGGGGACGCTGACCAGTGTGTACATATGGCACAGATGATTTCCCCAACTTTTTCTTCAGGAGGAACAGCTTTTTTTTTAAGTTGAGATGAGGTAGGAGGGAGCAGTTGGCCAAGTGAAGTCTCCCTGGGGTCCAAAATGTTGGTGTGGGGAGGCAGTGTGGAGGGAGGAAGAGAACTTTCCAAAGGAGACAGAGTCCAAAACTAAAAGGAGTACACTTCATCTTTCCTGCAGATCTCAAATAAAAATAAAGGATTCTTTTCATTCTTTGTGATCTTTAGTTTTCTCAAAGTCCAAGAATCACAATAAATGAAATACTGAATAACCTTTGCCTTCAGAAAATAGAGTGGGAAAGTACAATTGCTAATAATTCAGTAATATCCTCAAGTATTCAAGTGGAGAGGCAACTAGAGGTCATTCCATGGGATGCACTATGCTGAGGCCAGATCTCATTCCTGAGAGTATTGTAAGGCTACCTTTTCTGAGTGCAGGGTTTCATGTGGCTCTCCGCCTAGATCATCTGCTGGGACAGCAAAGGAAACAGGCAACCTCCTGGTCCTGCGCCTCCTGGTTGTTCCCAGGGAAGAGGATTCCGTCTGTTGTTCAGATCTAAGCTGGGAGGAGAAAGTCTTTTCACCTTCATTGAAGGCATATGTCAAGTAGGCTGCTGGGAAAGGAGGTTGTTGATCTTCAGAGAAGGTGCCATCTTTTTCTGTTTGAGCCCTGGTTACCTGGAAATTCAATATTGTCCACCAAGAAAAGTAAATCTGGTCATTCACAAGATAACATGTGGAATCTACATATTCTTTTGGGGGGCAGAGTTCAATTTTCTCAGAGTGGGATTTCTGGAGTATGGTGATGGTGGCAGATCCCAACTTCCAAGGATAATTAGAAGATTTATGTTCTCTTTGGGGAAACTATGAAGATCTAGCTGAGGACGAGCAAACAAAGACCACCAGGCAAGCAATTTGGGATTCAGCCCTCATTTCCAACCGACTCTTACCTTACACCTCCTACATAAAGAGTGGTTGGACATTTTTTCATCTTCATTGATTTCTCAGTCTCCTGACTTCAATAGACCAAAATATGGAATTTTAAGAATTGGAAGTCGAGGAGCTGGCTCACCTTGACATGAGGTCCAAGAGGTGGCTTCTGACCCCTGCCTGTGCAGGGCTGGAGCATCTTGGACATCCTTTTCAGACAATGCATTCTAATTCTTGTCATGTGCTTTTGTCCATTTGTATAAAGCAAAGAGTGCTGACAGCCCCAGTTAGCCTGAATGAGCAGATCCCAATAAACCCTCCCAAATCCTGACCTTATAAAGAAAGCCACATGTCTGTTTCCCTGTGGCTCATTATTAAGAAACCTTCTCAGTTTAAACACTTAAAAGGTAACCAAATGAAACAGCAATTAAGACTGAATTACCCCCTCTATCTCTGAAATCAGGCTGTGGGGCCAACTAGACCTTATGAGGTAGGGTTGAAGGCTGGACCCTGAGAAGTCTCAGTCTTGCCAGCTTGAACCCACTGCTACCCCCTTCAGGCACTAGACAGCTTGGTGGGGGAAGCTAAATTTTAAAAGAAGTAAACCTCAAAAAGTGTTTGAAAGTTAAGAAATCCACCAAAGAAATGGAGATAGGTGCATACACTGCCTCCCTCTTGCCCTCTCTGAAAAATACAACTCTAAAGCTTTTAAAGGTTATTTGGGGGAAATAGTGTTCAAATACCTGGTTCCAGTGTTAAATAGTCTAACCCCCAACACACACTTCTATCCAGCACTGTTTACAAAAGGGAAGAATGAAAACACAAAGGAGGAGGAAAATAGGTTGGGTTGGGAAGTGAAAGACAACATTTACTTAAATGTAGAATCTTGTCACACGTCTTTATTTGCTTGCATTTTTCTTAAATTTATTGTCAGTTACAGCACTTCTTTATGATCGAAACTTGGGACTGTCCATCACAGTTATTTATTTTAAAAGCTGCTGAAAAGTATAAGCTACTGCCTAGTTTTGTCTTTCAAAAGGGGGAAAGGACCCTAATTCAATGTAAATATGGAAGAAGCAGTATTGTTTCCACTTGGGCGAAGGCAAACATCGCAATCTAGGCAAAATTGATACGGATGCTTGTTAGAAAAGGCAGCTTTCAGCTTCCAGGGATTGGAACCAATAGGAATGAACACTTGCTCATGTTAAAGGGAGCTTTAATTAATATATATTTCCATCTCTAATATACACATATTGGGGCTAGATCTCTGTCTTCACAATAAAATGTGTGCAAATGCCCTCCGAAGAGATGAGTCCCCACCTCAGCCGGTATAGAAAAGCATGATAAAGGTTGGAAAAAATGGATAAAAATGTTGAAAGAACCTCCAGTGCCTTATTAGGTGAAGATACAATATTTATTCCTTGTCTCCTGGGATAAATCTCTTCTGCCTATTGTCCTCCCAGTTCTCAGTGCTGATGCTTAATTTTCAAAACTTCTATATTACCAAGGGACCTACGACATCAGCCAAAGAAATACTCAGCAAGTACAAAATCTGTTCCAGGGAGCTGCTTTTGTGCAGAGGGAAAATTTTGTTCCTACAGGTTTTTAAGTGGGTACAAGGCGAGGAGCTATCTGATCCGGGCAAAACCATTACAATTTAGATCTCTATCTATAGGACATTTTTTTTCCTTTAAAAAAATTGGAAAATACAAGAAGTTTGGATTTTTTTTTCCAGATTCTTTTTTTGGAGGGGAAAATTGCATCGTAAGCTTTTGGAGAAACCCAACATGTCAACTACCTTTCCGGGACTAGTCCACGATGCCGAGGTATTATTACTTTTTTTTTTTTTTGAGCGCGCGCGTGTGTGTGTGTGTGGCGGAGGGGGGGGTGGCGGCAGCAGCGGCGGCGGAGGCAGCTTCCCCTGGCTCTAATCTATATTGGACCGTTACGTTTAATTATAATCTGGCTTTCGGGGGGAAGTAAAGGATGGAAAGGGGAGAGGGTTCGTTATGACATCTGTCGCCAGGAAGGGCAACTCTCTGCCAGGTTAGGAAACATTTGCCATGAGGGAGAAAACATAATCCTAAATAATAAGAGGGGTGAGGAGAAAGAGATAGAAAATGATTCTCAGAAAGGCAAAGAAAAAGGACTGATGGGGGGCGGTAGGTGGACAAAGGGGGTGGGTAAAGCGCACCCCTTTTGGAATGAGCTTATTCTGGGGAAGGGAAGCAGATAAGGAGGGGTCGGATTCCCTCCCCCAGATAGCTAAGGGAGTGAGCAAGTTGAACGGTTTGCGGACTGGATTTTTGTTTTAATGTACGGACCATGATTTTGAGAAGTCCTGGCCGAACACCTCGGCGCGGACGGGCAAGGCTTTGGGGGCTGGGGTCCGGATGGAGCAGCGAGGAGGGCCCTCGCTGTCTGCCGGGGACCGTCCCGCTCCCCGAGGCCCTGAGTCGGCTGCAAACCTGGCTCCTCTGGCCCGGCTCCCCGCACAAGTCGGGCAGGAGCTGGGTGTGTGCGTGTGTGTGTATGCGTGTGTGCGTGTGTGATGTCGCCCGCACCTATATGGGGGGGGGATTCTTCCCGCTCTCTCGACTGTGAGGACGAGGCCTCCCACCCCCAGCTCGCCTGCTCGCAGAGCCTCTCTGGAAGGGCGACGCTCCCGGCTGCGGCGACACCCCAGCCCTGCGCGCTGCTCTCCTTGGAGAGCCTAAGAAGGCTCCTGGCTCTGGGACAGTGGCGCTTCGGTTGCAAAATGACAAACCTCAAGTTTTTCTGCTCTCCCTTTTCCCCCTCTTCCTTCCAGATACGTCACGACGGATCAAACAGCTACCGTTTGATGCAGCTTGGCTGTCTGGAGTCCGTAGCCAATTCCACTGTCGCCTATTCCTCCTCCTCTCCTTTAACTTACTCCACCACCGGCACAGAGTTTGCTTCCCCTTACTTCTCCACTAACCACCAGTACACCCCGCTCCACCACCAGTCCTTCCACTACGAGTTCCAGCACAGCCACCCGGCAGTCACCCCCGACGCCTACTCTCTGAACTCTCTCCACCACTCGCAGCAGTACTACCAGCAGATCCACCACGGGGAGCCCGCCGACTTTATTAACCTGCACAATGCGCGGGCGCTCAAGTCCTCCTGCCTGGACGAGCAGAGGCGGGAGCTGGGCTGCCTCGATGCCTACCGTCGCCACGACCTGTCCCTCATGAGCCATGGCTCTCAATATGGAATGCACCCAGATCAAAGACTCCTGCCAGGGCCCAGCCTGGGGCTGGCCACCGCGGGAGCGGACGACTTGCAGGTAAATAAGCGTGCAGCGCGTTTGTCTGCGCCCTCCCCTCGTCGCCTCCCCCTCCCGCCCCATTAATGCTCTGTAAGCCCTCTCTCTCTCTCTCTCTCTCTCTCTCTCTTCTCTCTCTCTCTCTCTCTCTCTCTCTCTCTCTCTCTCTCTCTCTCCCTCCCTCCCTCTCTCTCCCTGTCTTTCTCTCTCTCTCCCTCACATACACACCCTACTTAGGAAAAGTTATCAAAACAAAACAATCACAAGAGTGTGGCCATTTTGTCCTCATTGGATCCAGGCAGTTCACCCACTCTCTGTGGTTCTACTAACTGCGGGCCCCTACCTTCACCAGTTGTCATAGAAGGCGCCTGACAATCATATTTCTGACCCTAAGGGTCAGGTGAGGGAGACAGAGGAAGCTGGGTTTCAGTCCCCGGAACATCTTGGGGAAACATTAAGTTGACAACAAATGCTGCCCTTAGTTTCTACACTTCGCAAAGTCTGTGCTTCTGTTCCTGACCACCCCCCCATCTGAGCTTTTGGAGATTTACTATGATTTGGGGAGGAGCTCTCATTTTATTCTTGGAAATTTAAGCTTGAGCAAGTTTGACCAAAAAAACTAGGTTACTGTATAAAGTAAGAAACCACAAATGAAAGCCTCTAAAAATCCACATCAGTTAAAGAATCTGCAAAGTGCACTTGCCCAGGGCACAGCACTGCGTCCAACTCTCTTTGCCTAGTGTGTGCTCAAATCCACAGCCCACTTGGATGATCCACACCCTTATTTTCCTCTTTAAATAATTATATATTAGATCCCACTCCTGTAAAAGACAGGGATGAGAAAGTAAAGAGAGTAAAAAGAGAAAGGAAAAGGGAAAGGAGGGAAAAAATGAAGGAAAAGGGATAAAAGGAAGTAAGGAAAGAAGGGGAAAGGGGGAAAAGAAGACAAGGAATTCAGACACTGCTATCACTCAAACAAATGATCCCCTACTTTCTTTGTAAACACATTTTCACCTCTTTGCCTACAATGACATTGATAATTGTGCAATCGTATTGCCTTAGGCACACTTCAAACAAATAAGCACAAATGTCTAGAATAAGAATGTAAAAGACTCAAAATTGTAACATCTTTTTATGGAAATTACACTTTCACCTATGAGTGAGTGCCTGTTTGTGCAGTTGGTGCAATCTTGGCCACTTCCTCCACATTCACCACGACGAACGGGGAGAGATATTCTGAGACGAAAGTTGGAGACGTAAGCGATCCCTTGTTACGCACAGAAAATCTTTTTCCTTCATTTACCTTGGAGCAAGGGATTACTTTTAAATTAAAGTGAAACCCCTTACAGTTCCAACAAAAGGCCATAGCCATTAGATCCATGCACTAGGAAAAAGATCTGGCTTCATAAACTTTGACTTTCTACACTTATATTCACAAAAAAATTTTATACGCTCAGGGCATTTTTACATTTTTCACAAGGATCTCCTTATGTCTCAAGGGAAAAAAAATCTGCCATTCAATGCTTAGCTCAACTAAAACCTATTTACTCCTTTTAATAGCCACGTCTGTTGCTGATTTTTTTGTATCTGTACAAATTTTTTTTCTGTGAGAGGTACAAAGCCGGGCATTTTTCAAAAGAGGGGATTAGAACATTTGCAAGCACCAGACAAAGAAAGAATCCTGTGCAAAAGGACACCGTAGTTTATCCAATTTTCGACTTAGTGCCATTCAACTGGTCATTTATGCAATGTCATCTGACCAAACAACATGTTTTACTTATGAAGGGAAAAAGTTTGTTAAGTAAAGAGACCAAGATTTGTCTCTTCTAAGAAATAAATAACCGCGCAGCAGAGAGTATGAGGGAAAGTAGTTCATTCCTTTCTCCCTTAGAGGTGCTTTTACCTTCTACATTTCACATATTGTGAAACCTAAATTTTCTCCAGCCTATTTTTTTTCTTATGTGCTTATCTTTTTATGTTCTTATTACTCATTCTAAGGCACTTTTGTTCATCCTGAGAAGGGAAATATTTCAAGGTACTAGAAGAAATCAAGTATGTTGTATGATAAAAGTAGATACATATATATATATATATATTTATATATATATATGTATCATATAAAAATACGTTAAGAAGCAAGTTTGTAAATGTGGCAAGTTATTTTCTACCATTCATCCTGGACCTAGTTGGCAGAATGAAAAAGAGTCATAGCTACATTTAAAACGAGAAATGAGGAGGGAGTGTGTGGGAGAAACCCGTCTCTCTCCTTTTATTTCTTCCTTTTTAAAACATTCATCAGCATATGCCTCATTTTAAATGCAACAAATGTAAATATACTTTTCCCTGCACAGAATTTTAAGTGAAAGTCCAATGGTTTGGAGGGCGGTCTAAGTCTGCCTAACAGATGCAAACAGTCTTGTGGCTTCAGTTCCATCTTTGAGTCCCCTAAAAAGATTTGCTATGGCCAACAAAGAAAACTGTCACACCTTTTCCCATCACCGCTTTAATTTATGCTCAGTCTCCAAGGTTTTTTTTTATATTGATTTGATAATCACTTTAAGGCAGAACATTTAAAATAAGAAAGAACTCGTGAGTAAGTTGAAAAGGGGGGTCTTGCAGGCCTGCCTCAATATGGTGAAAATGGGAGGCAAAAGGGAGCCAGGGCTGTAAAGGTTGTTTTGTAAAGTGGGTTTTTATTATGCACCGACTCTCTCCGCATTTACTTAACTCTTCACGGGCTGTTGGGTAGGTTAACACCCTTCAAGGCCTCTTTCATGTCCAATACCTCGTTTGTTTGTAAAGGAAAATGAGCCTTTAACACATTTGGAGTCAAGAAAAAAAAAAAAAAAAGACAGCCACAGAGAAATTTTTATTTTTCTTAATAAAAAACCAGCATACCCTTTCCACCTTTCCAGCTCAAATGATTTCTCAATCCATTAGGATCCTGAAGATCTATAGTCTGAACCTGCAGGTATTTCCTCCATAAGGCCCATTTTGGATAGCAATGTAGGATGGTCCTACCTTTGGGGTAAAACAGAATGCTCATGAGATATCTTGCAGGCAGAACAACTCCTCTGAGCCCCACAAGAAACCCACAGCCTAAACCTTGACATTGTAGAATGGTTTTCTCTATTCAGAAAGTATTCAATGTCCACTCTCTATGTATACTATATGCCTTCTTGGATTCTCAAAGGGCTTCTCGTACTCTTATACCAAGATGAAAGGCTCTCAGATACTGCAAAGTATAATACTACATGGTGATATAAAATGTATACCCTAACATTTATACAACTTTTACATTTTGGTTTTGTTGAAATTTTGTTGTTGTTAAAATTGTGTTTGCTGGCAAGCTTGTCCCAACTCAATGGTTGTTTTGAAATGTCTACTGAGATAGGATCTAAGGGTAGGCCATTCTGAAAGATTTTACCCACATGGTTATACCTATCAGAGTTGAGTGATCTTATTTCGTTTTCTTCTTCTTTTATTAAGGGCTCTGTGGAAGCCCAGTGTGGGCTTGTTCTCAATGGCCAAGGTGGAGTGATAAGAAGAGGTAAGTAAGAACATTTTGACTTACTTAATTTGTTTTAAAGATCTCACACTGCTTGGAAACATTAGATTGCTATCTACTGATTATGAAAACAATTACTCTTACTCAATGACTGAAGTTCTATATAGGCATAGCTATATTAAAAAAATCTTCCCTTTTTTCTTTGAGGCTGAGCCAAAAGGACTTGTGCTAGGAGATATTTGCTGCTGATCACAGAACAATGAGAAAAACAAAGTTAGAGAGGAAAAAATTTGAGGATAAAACACACTTTCACACTCCTGCCCATCACCAATACCACATCCTGGAGCAGCATTTCTGGTCTCTTTTAGTTCTAATGTGTCAGCCACAGCCTGAATTTTTGAGGTGATATTGTTAGCTTGAGGCTTTGAGAGATTCTGTGAAAGGCCTGATCATTGAGGCTTTAGGGGAGACTAATGAAACACCAATATTGTAGCTGCCTTATTTCTGTAAGAGTCCAGAACATTTCTTTCTTTAAGGGAGGGTGGGAGGAGGAGGTAGTGTTAACTGTACCGGATAAAGCTTTCTTGTTCCCATCTGTTGAGGAAAACATCTGAATCCAGAGTTACCCGTGGAATTGGAAGGTGGGGGAAAGGCGAGAGGAGAAGAGAGAGCTGTTGCTTTCAGCTGAAGCACTGAAGGGGGCTGCATCTCATATGTTCCATTTTGACAAAAGGTTTTGAACTATAATATTCACAGAGCCTCAAGGCAGTGCAGATTTTGTTGGCTTCCCCTACTTAACTGTACCCAGAGCCTCTGAAGTTTATTTTGCTAGCATGCTGAGAAACCTGAGGAGCATACAAGGCAAGAGGGACCAGCTGTTATCCCAACTTCATACGAATTAATAAGACATGGCCTATTCACCAAGACTAATTCCTGCTCCAGGGCCACAGTTGTCTTTAGTAACCAAACCACTAAAACTGAGTCACTTCTGGTGGTAGGGAATAGTGTCCGTCAGTCATTCTCCATTCCTTTCAAAGATTCTTGAAGTTCTTATTTTTGTGGGGACAGAACTGTGCTGATAGAAAGTAGCAGATATTTGTGTTTAAATTGCAGACTTCAGAGTGCAATGTGCATAAATTCAGGAAGAAAGAAAGCAAAGGGTGTTTTCCTGTTAGAATTTGGGTGTTGTTGTAATGTGTATTTGGATTTTATATTTTATTTTAAAAAGCCATTCAACTCTTAAAACGAAAACTATGGATACTGCTACACACACATTTTTATTTTAAATGAGCATGCCGGTCAGGTCAATACCTACTCATATCTAAATGCCAAGAAATAGGTCCAAGACTGATGAATTTTACAATTAGCTAGTCACAGGGTAAGGCGAGTCAAAAAAAAGTGCACAATGAGAAGAGGTTCCAGTGAGATCTGATGACTGCGGTCTCCTCAGGAAGGCTGAAACTAAAGGTGAGGCCTTGCGCTCTGGGCGCACAGATAGCCGTGGTGCTGAAGGACAGCGCCACTAATTAAGCAACGGAGCCGGCTCCTCAGAGAGCAGAGCTCGCGTTACTGCGATTTTCGTATTCAATTCCGTACTTGCTTGAAGATCACCTTCTTCGATGCTTGAAATTATATCCCATTGTACGATAGGTAACAGAGGATGAGAATTATTCGTGGCCGAGGCCAGGAGCCGGGATATGAGACTGCGGCAGTAGAATCCGTTGAATTTTCAGATTTTGGTGACATGCTCTACCACCTAGGGTCCTATCTAGAAATGCCAAAGCTTCTAGGAATCTACGAAGTGCAAGCTGCGGTCTTATCAGAAGTATAGAAATGATGATTATCAGGAGATATCTATTGTTCTTGTAGAATTTAGTAACTGTTTCACTGAAACATCATCTCTTAATCTGGCATTTTAAAACCAAACATTGATTTTGTAGAACAACATAACTCCAAAGAGAAAGGTGATGTAACTAACTTGGGGCTAAGTCTGTATGGTTTGGTTAAACCTTAATCCTCTCACTTCGAAGTAACTAAGAATTTAGCTGTTGAGTTTATTTCATTTGTAGTTCTTTTAGCTAAAGGCCAGTTGACCTGTGTGGGCCCTGGAGAGGGGCAGTGTGTCTACACGTTGGCTGCTCTGAAAGTACCAGCCTTCAGGACAGACTGCAAGTGGGTAGCAAAGAAGTGTCACCTTCACAGGGAAGGACATTTTGTCAGCGTTCACCCAACCCCTTCTCTCAGGACACCCTATTTTCGAGGAAATGCCTCAGAATCCCCTTCTCTCTATTGTCAGTCTTGCACAGAACTTCTCTGTCAACAGCTCAGCCCACTTTATTTCGTCAAAAATCAGGAGCGCATGAAGCAAAAACGCTGTGCTATACTGCTGTCCATCTTACAGCCCGATGCAGTAACGTCTAATAGCTTCGAAGAGTGTCTGCTTCTTTTCCAGCCCATGCTTCACAGACGATTCTCCACACAAAATCCCATTTTTCGAAAAAGCACAACTTTTTAACATTATTCGCTCTCTCCCTAAGTTCTTGGATAAATTTACATTTCTAATGACCTCCAGAATTTACAGTAGCGGAAAAAAATAGATGTTACTTCCAAAGACAAGACCCCAGCAACTGTTCCTTTTTAAGAAAGACACGCGTCGGTGTGCCCTCCGTGGGTCTGCAGGGAAAGCTGCCGTGGTTTGCAGTAGGGTGAGGCCTGAGAGTGCCTGTCCTTTAAATCTGGCCACTTGTATAAAACAAAGTGCCATTTCTCTGACTCACTTTGGTAAGGCGCAATTATGTTGTGTCTTTCTGTAATGAGGACCTAGCATCAAAAAAAAAAAAATTATACGTGAAAAGGAGGCAGAGGCGAGGTAATTACCACCTAGATAAAATATTTGCCACCGCCTAGGAGGCGCAGCTCCCCGCGCGCTCACTGCCGGTTAATGGTGTGCGCGATGTCGCCCGCAGCTCCGCCACTCCAACCATCAGAACCAATAATCTTTACTTTACTCTGTGCTCTCGTATCGATAGCTTCTTTCGCCTCCGGCGTTGGCTTTGATATGTTAATATTTCTGAGTAGCAAATTCTGCAGAGATCATATTAATGTTGTACGTACAGAGTGGAGCTTTGCCTTCGTTGAATATTCAGATACTGGGTTTCAAAAGGCATCTCTTGAAGAAATGAGACTTCTATTTACAGGAGTCGTCTATGTTTTTAATCATTAAAAAAAAGAAAGGAAAGAAAGAAAGGAAAACCCACTCCTCTTTTCTGAGGCTCCCCCATGGCCCCCGCCCCTTTGTCAGACGACGGTCTCTTTCATTCCTTGCTCTGAGTGTCTAATAATAAGTGAGCAAGGTTGATGATGACGAGAAGGAGGAGCGCGGAGTGGGGAGGAAGCTAATAGCGAAAGAACCCGTACTGGAATTTCAGGGTAGGGGTCATTTGGGTAGGGACTCTGGCCTTCCGATGATTACAGTCGAGATGACAAGATCCGGTCTTTCCACTTGTAGGTGGAAAAGGACATTTTGACCCGGTCTCTTTTGTGAAACCGGGATGGCAAACTAAAAAGGGGGAGGGGAGATGAAAAAAGTAAAGAGGGGAAGCGCCCTGTTTCGCCTTGTGATCATTCCGCCTTGCAGCCCCAGGCTAATTTCGGAAGCTTAAATACCGCCGCAGCCTCTGGGCCAGCGGAGAGGAGACGACCGGCCACTGGCTGGCAGGAGCGCTTTCCCGATTGCCCGTGGCTACACAAAATACAAACTACTTTGAATCAAAACATTTTTGGGGAATTAATACGATTTGAACTTTGCACGTTTTAAGGAGATGCAGTCTGTCAGATAGCTTAGAGGTGATGACTGGCATGCCAAGGCGGAGGCACTGACATTGCGATACGAACGCTGTCAGCTCAGATTTAAACTTTTAAATGCTCCCGTGAAATGCAGCTTTAGCTTCATTTGCCTTGCCTGCCAATGTTAAGGTGGCTGAAACTGACCACCCTTCCTTTTCGCATCCCTCACCTCTGCTGGCTCCGTACTGGGGAGGGAGGGAGCATGCGCCTTCCTTTTCTTCCTCTGGTTTCGTCGGGACCTTGACTCTTGGAATCCCAGCTGAAGAGAGAATCTTTGGTTCTTCAGCCTATCTTGGAAGGAATAAGATTGGAAGAGGGTGGGAAGCCTTGGTCCCTTTCTTTTCTCGTCACCCCCAGGAAAGAGAGCGCCTACCCAGATCTCATCTCTGTGGTTCAGCTTCTGTGGGTGAAAATAAAACCAGAAAAACACTGGGAGCCTCACCTGCCTCCTTCACCCCTACGTGCAAGAGGCTGCCGATCTGAAGTTTAGTATCTTGTAGATGAAGTCTAAAACACCTGTACCAAAAAATCTAGAGGCCTAATTGTCGGACAGTTTGTTGGTGGTGGCCGTGGTTGTGGTGACGGGAAGCGGAGGGAGGTCGCTTTTCTCACAACCTATTGCCTTCGCTCTAATTTCTTTACTACTTTGAAAACCAAAACTGAAGCACTCCGCACGAGGAGTGGAGATAACACCTTCCCCCACGCGCTCTCTCTCTCTCTCTCTCTCTCTCTCTCACACACACACACACACACACACACACACGCACGCACACACACACACACCATTACACACCCGCTTGTCTCCTGCGTTTTGCATCTGAAGGAACGCATCAGCCACCATAATCCCCAATCCCTTTGTACCTGTGACAGTGTTTCTCCTGCGCACTGCACAGTCACTGACACATCAAAGGCCTACTTGGTGGCCATTAAGTCCCCACCCCTTCTCCGTTTGAGTACTGTTAATATCTGCTGCCTGGAGTGAGGGTGCAGGAGGTGGGGCGCGCTGAAGGAGAAAGGCTGGAGGGGAAGCAGCGCAACGCTTCTACCCCAGCCGGATGTTCACATGCACACCTCGCAGAATTGCAACAGCAGAACAAACAGGGACAGGAAACTCTTGTAATCGCTTACACATTTTTAATGTGTCAGAAAAAAACGAGCGATCACTGGAGATGAACAAGGGGAGAGAAAAAAAATCCCTGCCGTTTGTATTTCTTTCATTTGAATTGTAAACATCTGTTTGGCTGTAAGGCGAACAGAACATTTATTTTGCTCCCAAGATTTGGTCTAATTATGTCAACAGCGACGCGGCGCCGAGTGGGGCGGTGCTGCAACTTTGGAGGAGCTGTGAGCAAGGGCCTGGCGCCCGCCCCGAAACCGCCGGCAAGTATTGATCGCCCCAGGAGAGCGCGGGAAGCCTCCAGCCACTGTGGAGAGCGTCCTCCGGTGGGGGTGGGGGAGAAGTCTCTAGTTTAGACCCGCGTGGTTCAGAAGCAGCTTTAGAGGCTCCTTGGAGGAAAAGCTGGTTAGCCACAGGCGTCACCACTCTGGTGCAGTAAAAACTGTGGGTGGGTTCTTCTCTAGTTTCAGAGCACGCGTGTTGAGAAGGGTAGATGCTCAACACGATGGCGGTTGTTGAGTGGCCTTTACTCAGGCTGCGAAGGACATGTATGCATTTCCTTCATACCTCTTCATCCACTGGAGAAACGAACATACTTTTCAGACAGAGAGATTGAAATCTAGAGAATGATTCGCCAAGGTCGTGTGGCCAAGTCACTAGCTGTCCTATGTCTTACTTGTGCTTTTTCCATGACCCCACCCTGTGCCCTCAGACACACTGTTCCCACAGACACAAGAACGGATGTCCCCGACTACGCCAAGAATACAGCCCCAAATTTCTGGGTTATGTAGGATCTAACCCAGTGTGACTGCAGGGGCATGTGCCTGGTTTTGTTTCACACACAGTAAGTCTTTGGCTAACTTGTCACTTTGTCCTAAACAAGTGATTTTCAGTAGATAATCCCTGATTTCTTACACTGTTACCATAGCTACTCATTAGAGTGTGCAGCATCACTGCAAACAGGAAGTCTTGTCTCCAAACTTCAAATTTAAAAAATAGTGACCTCTTTGGAAATATTGTGTCTGTGCATTATGAATCGAAGAGATGCAGTTCCTCACAAGCATGCTAGCTCTGGAATGAGAGATATCCTGAACTGGGGTGCTGAATCTCAAATAGACACACACAGCCACAGTGAGAAAAGGGAGCTCCAGCTGATGACAACTAGGGACCGCTGCTGACACAACTCGGTGAGGTGCAATCTCATGGCCTTTCTTCCTCAGAATCACATCAGTGCCATGCATAGTCTGGGTCCCCTTAGAGAAGTCCAGCCCCTCAACACCTTCCTTCCAAATGCAAATGTCTTGTTATATTGACCAATACCTTTTCCTACCTCCCTAAAAAGTAAACCACTGAGAAGAAAGATATCATGCTCCCTGAGTTGCTGTAAACTCTACAAGTTGCCAAATCTTTCACCAGAATGAGAGAGTTCCCCAAGGCTGCAGCAATGCCAAGTATCAAAGCAACAGAAATTCCCTTTAAAGATACAGTGACATAAAAAAATAAAAGACTCTAGAGTTGATGGCTAATCCTGAATACAAAATAAATCCTTCAGGCAATTTGTGTGTGCATAAGGCATACTCTTAATATGCAGCCTGCGTGACTTACCTAATACATGCCTATTTGAGGATAAGCCAGAAACCCAGCCTGGATGTGAGGCCCAGGTAGTTAGCACATGCCTAGAAGCAGTTTCAGTGGTTTCCCTGGGAACAGCTGGCTTTTAGCACACAGGGTTCACTTTGCCAAAAGCAAGCAGTTTTCTCATAGGGGAGAAAGTGATTTAACTCCTTTTGCAAAAGTCATAATCATCTGCATCTCTCTATAATGGATTTCTGGCCTACTGAAGATTTGCAAAAATAGGAAAGGCCCAAATTTTTGTTCTTCCTTTTTCTTAGTAGCTAGGAAAACTATATGTACACAATATACAGTGAATATTTAAATTAAGTGCATTATAGTAAAAGTCACACCACCTGTAATCCTCCTCAAAATATTACTTCTCCCTTCGAAAACATCTACCCTATTATTCTTGCCACTTTCTGGGAGTCTTTTTCAAGATTATCTTTACAAGATGTGATTAAAAAATACAGTGAATGCTTTTACCAAGTGTCATCCGATGAAAAGGCTCATGAAAACATTACAGTGTGTCCTCCTTCACATTGTTCACTGGACCTGGCACCATGCAACTTGAGGCCCCTCTTTAAGGTCAAAATGACCATGAGAGGTAAACATTTTGAAACGATTCAGGGTCTGGAAGCAGCCACAACCAAAGACAACCAGGAAAGAGGACTTCTAGGACTGCTTCAGAAAGTGGCATGAACAATGAGGTAAGTGCATTCAAAGCAAGGAGGCATATTCTGAGCATGCAAAGTGAGGAAGTATAGGTGAATTCGTGTTTCTAGCTCCTGAGGGAGATAGTTGTACAAACTGTATAAGTTTTCTGTGGCGTTGACTATAAGTCTTACTTGAACAACAAGATTTTAGTTTGGCAATTACGACCTCTCTCTGTCTTCAAACTAAGAACAGGTTTCCAGGAACTTATATGGGGAATTTGGCCGCATGGATAGGACGTGGCTTCCAGCCCAAAATATCTGCCCTGACATTTTGATGATCCATCTTCTTGTTTTGGAAGACATTTGGGGGATATTAACAGCTCCAGAATATTTAGGAGAAACATCTTAGTCTCTAGTACTTTGAGTGGGGGACACATGGATGACCACAAAGCTCCCAGAAGGAATTCCAAAAATTACAGTATGGGACTATATTAACAGTTAATAAGGCTATCATGTTCTTTCTTCCCAAGTCAATGATCCCTTTCCCTTTTAAACATCCTCCCAGTTACTTAAGTTACCAGGCCAAAGAAACACACCTGAATCTGAAGCCAAAGCCAGAGACTGGGGATGTAACACTTCATCTGTACTGGGTTAAATAAATAAATAAATAAGAAAGAGCTTTTGGGAAGCAAGTCCTAGTCCAGTGCTTCTCCAACTTTAATGATCATATGTACTATCTGAGGTTCTTACTAAAATATTTTGACTCAGAAAGTCTGGGGTTGGGTCTGAGATTCCATATTTCTAACAATCTCCTTCCAAGAATGCCAGTGTTGCCTGAAGAGGATCACACTTTTAATAAAAAAAAGATTGTGGACCACATATTCTTGCCCATTTTTCTTCATTCACCTTCTTTTTCCCTTTTCCCTCATAGAGATCAACCCTTTTCTGAAGACAAGTCCTAAGGTTGCCATAAGTAAAGCCAAGTTTAAATTTGAAAAACTCTTCACCTAGTTGTGTCCATACATGCAGAGGGAGACTGCAGGCCTAAATCATAAAGACAACAGCCTGGCAAGGTGGACATTGGCTCAGGATTTTTGCAGCTAGTGAGGAGTTGGGGAGCATGAAACTTTCCTCAGCCCTTTGGATTCTCAAGTTCACTTTAGTCTGTGGGAGCTGCTTGAGATTAAGGAAAGAACTGCATTGTTTCTAAACTAACGTGAAGCTGAAGGAACTTGGACTTTGGAGACAGAAAGTTCCTTTTCCAAGGACTTCAGTGTAGTAAAATTGCTTTGATGATTTTGCTATGAATTCTTTGCTTTGCATGCTAATAATAATGATGACAGTAGTCACAATAATATTATTGGCAATTAATAGTTAATAAGTGTTACTATTGTTGTGTTCTAGATATTATGTTGTGTGCCTGTATGTGCGGACTCTGGAGATTGGCATATAGTACAAGGATTTGACCTGTCATCACCTGCATGGGCTGGAAATTTCTGGCAATGTGGAGATGACTGTTAGTATAGGAGGACAGAGTGACTGTGGTGTCTCGTTGATAGATAGATGAGGGAAAGGAGATGGTAATTCTCAAACATTTTGGAAAAGATAATTCATCTGTAGAGTTTTTATCTATTGGGTGTTATATATATAATCACAAAGAGTCATGTATAAATCACAGCTACATTTTGTGGGCTTAGCTACTGGAGTTTTTAACTAGTTGAAGTCTGTCTGGATGTGATTATGTCAGAATATACACTGATAAGCCAGCCTATATTTCCTGAGGTGTCAATTTTCTCTGAAATTACAATTGTATTCTCAGAACAGTTTGTTATGTGATTCTGGAAAACCAAAACCATCATTAGCATTTGGAAGGACATCTTCAGAGCAGCACTCTGAGCTGCTGTGGGGTGAAAAGTATAATGGTTGTCATGAATTCCTCAATATGAAGCCATCCCTGATAGTAACTTTTCCTCTTGCACTTGCCTTCTCTCACTTTTACTAACATGTTGTGTTCATTTTCCTCCCCAGGTGGCACTTGCGTGGTCAACCCCACAGACCTGTTTTGCTCTGTTCCTGGCCGTTTGTCTCTCCTCAGTTCTACTTCCAAATACAAGGTGACCATTGCTGAGGTAAAGAGGCGCCTGTCACCCCCTGAGTGCCTCAATGCTTCACTCCTGGGAGGCATCTTGAGAAGGTAAGACAAGCTGTTTTGTGGTCCTGTGTGTCTAACTGTACTGACAACACACCCTCCACCCTACATGTTTATGTCTTCCTTCCTACGTGGTGAAGTCATCTCACAATTTGCTTCAGAATGTGAACTTTCAAAACCTAGTTTTTGTTTCCGGACAGAGCAAAATCAAAGAATGGGGGTCGCTGCCTGAGAGAAAAACTGGACAGGCTTGGCCTAAACTTGCCAGCAGGAAGACGGAAAGCAGCCAATGTCACCCTCCTTACTTCCTTGGTCGAAGGTATGACCTTTCAGCTCAGCAAAGTCATGATGGCTATTGGTAATGGACACTGAGGCTTGTTAGATAATAATGTTTTACTTCTGTTTATGCTGTTAAGCAAGACAGGTAACAATTTCAGGTAAATTTTCTACTTAATCTTGGCAATAATGATTAACCAGTTCAATACAAAATGGGGATATTGCATAGAATATCAATTAATTACTAATTTGGCAGTAATTGGGAAGAAGATAATGGAAGATACAGCTTCTTTTGCAAGTATTCCCTACATAACAGCAACAAATATGTGGCCATACATTGTCATTTTTATTAATATTTCAGAGCTTAGACAAATCTGCCTTAACTCATTGCAATTCAGTGGAACATGATCCATGGAATAAATAATTCTTCGTGAAAAGTTCACAGAAGTCTAGCCCAGATCCTGAGCCTGAAAGCATATGGTATTAGTCCTTGTAGACATCTTCTAAGATGGGTGGAAGTTCCGTGGCTTTGTGGGGGAATGAACTGAGTCAGAGAAAGGTTAAACTTAAACAATATAATAGAAAGAGAGGTGCAATATATTCCCAGGAGTTATATTCTCCAATTTATATTTTCTGCTTTCTTCTGTTAGGTCTAAGCTTGGCACACCCTCTTGCAATCTTCTTTAAGGAGAAGTATTATTGGATACTTATTTTTTTTAACATTGTAGGGGAATTTTTAAATGTCAAAGAAAAGCTCTTCTATAATCCAGAATATTATTGTTTCAAACATGAATGACCGAGGCCTTTTCTTGACAAATCTCACCTGAGCACACCTGTGACACATTTCTTGAATCAGCTACTTATCTATTTTATGACACTACAGGGAATGGTAAGTGCGTGAAACAAAAAGCAAACATCTTGTCCTTTTTCCATACTGTGAGTACATAGCATTTAACATATAACATTAAGAAATAGTGTACTTTTCACATTAGTCTCTGCAAAATTGCTTTGGTGATTTTGCTATTAACTGTTGTCTTTGCTGTGCCTTTGGTTGTTAATAATGGAAACAATGACCAGAACAATAATATTAGTGTCAGCAAACATTTAGTAAGTGTTATAGCTTGAACATCCTTGGCCCAAAAATTCAAAATTTGAAACTGTTTGAACTCCAGCCTAACACTCAAGAAATTCGGGGATTTGAATTGCCTGAGATTTTAGATTTTCAGATTAAGGATGCTGAACTAGTATAGTCTATAAAATATTTCAAAATATGAAAAAATGTAATATGTAAAGCACTTGGATCTCAAACATTATAGGTAAACAATATTCAACCTGTATGATGTTCTATAGTGCTTGAGTTTTTTGCTTCTTTGCTGATGCTGAGGGCTGGCTTATATGATAGGGATTTGGTGAGGTGTTTCTTTTGTACCAGGGTGGGTCACCCTCGGGACCTTATTCTTGTAAGGCAGGCAGTGTGGCATCATTGGACTAAATCCTTAGCCCAAGAGAGATCTGAGTTATCATCCACCCCTATGGTATGATATAGTGAAGGTGCCAGTGAAAGGGAAACAAAAACTAGAGTAAAAATTAAAAAAGACTAAGTGGTTGATTCTGGATAGATTCCTGCACTTTTTAAATAAAAATGTTAAAATTACAATTGTTTATAAAAGAGGAGGTTCAAGAGTCTTGTGACAGTAAGTAGGACTTGAGTGCTTCTCCAACATAATGTGCAGAGTTCAATGAGAAGGTGTATTAGAAAGTGCTTGGACCCCACACCCAAACCAAATGAAATTTAATCTGTAGTCATGGCCCAGGCATCTCAATAATTTCTAAACTCCACAGGTGATGCTGATGTTTAATGATGTTTCAGTGTCACTGATGGTCCTTAGGATCCTTTCTGCTACCCTGGTTTGATTGATTATGAATTCCCATGAAACTTATAACTGATCTGAAAATTAAAGACCCCAGGAAAAACCCTTCTCCTTACTTCCTGCAAAAGTACTGCCCAGTACAATTCTTACTATTTTTCATGGTAGTCAAGTGCACTAGGGTATCCGTGTGGGAATCATTGATTCGTACCAACACAAAGAACATAGGTCAAATATAGAAAATAAGAAAATGAGTATGATGATCTCTGGAGCCTTTCAGCATACTTCTCCTATCATAAAAGGGACTCAGGTTCTCATCTAGCTTCTGCTCACAGATAACCATTAGTCTTGGCTCATGAAACAAGATTTTATTCTTCCCAGGTATATTGTATCTTGAGTGATTTTGAAGTCCCCCAAATCATGATGTAGAGAAATATTTTACATTTGAATTCCAAGCACTTGGATAAAATTTCTGAAAAGAGATTTAGAGACAAAGGGACATTTTCCAACCCTCAAATTCCCACATATCACCCACAAACAAACTCACATAAACAGTAATTTACAAGTAACATCAGAGGTGGGTATAGTCACACACACTTGTAACCTCAGCTTCTAGGGAAGTCAAGACAGAAGTATCACAAACTGAGGCCAGCCTGGACAACTTAGCAAAATTCTGTCTCAAAGTAAAATAAAAAGGCTAGGGATTAGTTTAGTGCTCCCTGAGTTCAATCCTCCCCAAAGTTACAGTAATATATACAATGTTCTCTGATATATTCTGAATTTTTGTGTGGTTTTTAAACATCCATTGTAAATTCACTAAATATATTTCACAGCTCACTGTGAAGTCAGGATTTATGACACATGGTTTTAAAAACAAGTTATATTAGCAAACAAAACATAGTATTTGACAAATAAGCGTATTTTGGATAAACTGATATAGGCTTCATTATAATTGCGGACTAACAGGGAAAGCAAGGACTCTGACGTATCTTCCTTCCTACACTTCAGTTGGGTTGAGGTGAGAGCCCATTTTCAGCCAGTGATGCTGCACTCTGCACTAGGCTTGTGATCTTTGATGTCCATTTACAGGGTAGTAATAACTCTGCTCTCATCTCTCAACCTCCTATAACACAAAAATAGATTCATCTCTTCTGCCTTTATAGGACATTAAGCCTTTTCAGACCAATATGAATCTGAAGTTTGTTTAGTTTATGTTGTTTTCTGCTATATAAACTTTATCATATTTATCATTTGGTAAATAGATCCTTGAACCGAATGTACCTACAGGTAATATTTTTTATCCCCAACCAAATACTTTTGCAAATGCCAATAGCATGTTAGATTTTTTTCCTAGAAATCCCGAAACTAGATTTCTGGTCAACTAAAATGGTCTATTAGCTTTTTCATAAACCTATAGCCTTGTGAAAAACTATAGTACTAACTTTAAAAATATCTGTATTGACATCTCTCATTTATCTCCTGAATTTCTTTCATTAACTCATCCACATATTTTAAGTATTAATTGCAGGTGATTTATATTCTCTGAAATATCTCTTAAAACTGTTGCTTGAAACTCTTATGGAGTAACTAAGCCACAATAAAGCTATTAGTTTCTAAAAAATCCTGATGGTTCAATATATTAATACAGTTTAATTATCCTTCCACATTTTGGTACAGTGCATGAGCAGAAGAAAGCAAGTATACAGTTGACTTTATTTCTCACAGAAAATAAAAATAAATCTTATAAAAGTCAAACATCAGTGACTTTACTGTCTCCAGGCTCTCAATCTAATCAATGAAAAGTAAGGTGCTTTATAATAGGGATTCAAATTAGAAAATGAACATTTTTTTCAAAAGTAGCCCAGTCACTTACCGATCCCAGGTTTCATCATGAACTTCTGTACTTATGTTTCCATGCTTGCCTTAGATTTTCAATTATTTTGTTATTAATTATTTTTTTAAAAATCACATTGTTTTTGAGCAGAGTCACTATTTTTAGGCATTATTTTAGGAATTTATAGGACGGGGCTACTTAATGCAAATACATAATATGGCTTAATAATTCATGACATCTCTGTCACTAAGATCATGGTACATATTACCTAATGAAACGATGAACTAGAGACTGATAAACCATTTTTCCCTTACAAAATTGTTTTTAAACTTAGCATTTTAAGCAGATATTTTAAGTGAGAATTTTCTGTATCCATGTAATATGGGCATATTTAACCTGGAATAAAAGGGAAAGTTTTGAATCCAGAATCCTATAAATATAATACTAGATTTTATTCCCTTTTTACTCATATATCTTCTTCATCTAAGGAGGTTTAAATATATAACTATGAGAAGAAGTTCTTAGATCTTACCTTATTATAAACGTGTTATCCTGATTTATCTTTATTAGTCACAGCCGTGACTACTTTGTCTATAGCTACAATAGCAGCAAGATATCCATTTCTGGGACACAGTACGTGGTGGCCTATCGTTGCCTACTCCAGTGCACTGATTTTCCAGAGGAGACCTTAAGATAATTCCAGACTCCTCAGGGGTACAAAGAGTTTATCTCTAGACAGCATTCAAATAACTTGGCCAATATTATTATCCCAGTCCTAACCCTCTTGCTATATATTTATTTATGAATTTCCAACTGCTGTAACTTTCCTGCCCTAGATTTTCCTCCAGAATATTTGCCAAGGAAGGGGTTGTTCAAACAAACACAAGGAGTCAGTGATCTGGTAGTCACTGCTACCCCTCAGTCTCACCTCACCTATAGTTCTCCATGGTGGCCAACACTGCAGAGTGTTGCTTAAACATTCTGTTTGTCAGGGTGGGTTGTTTTGGTGGAACTGTTTTGCTGCTTTTGCAAAATCTCAGGTAACATTCTCAAGCAACACTAAGGGCTCTGGAAAATGCCACTTATTTAAGTCCTTTAAAATAATTGGTGTATGCAGTTTGTTGTGACAGGACGACAAATTCCATGTGTGCTCTATTTGCACATTTTTGAAGTAGTGTGGGACAATGGAAGTATAAATATACATTGATAAAAAAGCACCATTTCCAAATATTTCATATGATCCCATTCAGTCTTCTCTAGTTTAAGTATTTTATTGCTGTTGCTCTCAGCTTCAGCTGTATCTATATGGCTTTTACGACCCTGCCCTACACTTCCAACCTC